AAAGGGGATTAAATATATGCTGACTGAAGGAGACTAGACTTTGGGTGGTAAGCACACAGTGCAATACACAGATGATGTATTCTAGAACTGTACACCTGAAACCTGTATAAATTCATTAACCAATGTCACCCAATACAGTTAACATTTTTTTGTTCTTGTTTATTTCTGCTTTTATCTTTTCCTAAATCTTTATTGTTGAAAGTATTGCATGTCTCCTTCCCCCCTCATTGGCATCTTCTAGCCCCCATCCCGCCTCCTGCCCCAAGCCTTCACCCCCCCTATTGTCAGTGACCATGGGTTGTGATATATGCACACAAGTTCTTTGGTTGATTTCTCACCCACCCACCTTCCCCTGCCTTCCCTCTGAGAATCCACAGTCTGTTCCATGCTTCTATGTCTCTGGATCTATTTTATTCATTAGATACCACATATGAGTGAGATCATGTAACACTTGTCTTTCTCTGACTGGCTTATTTCACTTAACATAATACTCTCCAAGTCCTTCCATGCTTTTATATGAAAGAAAAAAGGAGTTATCACTCTCCTTGACAAGAATTGAAGAGGCCCTTAGGCCTCATATCATGCAGACTATTAAGGCAATCCACCTACTTTGTGGCTTTTTCCACTTCTAGTTATATCCCCAAAAGAACTGAAAGTTGGAACTCAGATTTTTGTATTCCCATGTTCATAGAAGCATTATTCACAATAACCAATGGTGAAAATAACGTAAATGTCCATCAATGGATGAATGGATACTCAAAATGGAGTAAAATCATACAATGGAATATTATTCAAACTTAAAAAGGAAGGAAGAAAATTCTGACACATGCTACTACATGAAATAACCTTGAGGTCATGATGCTGAGTGAAATAATCTCCACTTATTTGAGTCACATCGAGTAGTAAATTCATACAGAGTACAACAGTAGTTACCAGAGGCTGGGGGTAGAAGGAATGAGAAGTTGTTGTTTAATAAGTACAGAGCTTCAATTTAGGATGAGGTGAAGGTTATGGAAATGAACAGTGATGATGGCTGCATATCAGTGTGAATGTACTGAATCCCACTGAGCTTTACACTTAAATTTGTTAAAATTGTCACTTTCATGCATACATATTCTACTACAATTTTTTTAAAAGTCTGCAGAAAAGAAAAGGAAAAAAAGCACATACTGTATCCTATAAAATAGAATCCCATTTCTTGGGAGCGTTATCACCCAACTACCCATCACTGAGTGTTCAAAAGGGTCCTTCAGTTAGGCCAGATGCTTCTATAGGTGAAGGGGTATGTGGTCAAACCAGTGAGGTCCATGCCTGTAAGCCCCCTGCCAAATGAAAAGCCCATATTGTTGGGGCTCAACATTGATCTCAGCTGTGGTCAGATTGGACGCTTGACATCAGTGGCCGCCACGTCAGCCTTTGGGAAAAAAGTCCATATTGTGGGGCCATGCATAACCTCCATCCCTGCCACCATGTGGCTTAGTCCATGGATTACTGAACAAACTCCGAGGGGCCTGAGGAGGGCCTGGCCAACCACCACAATTTCTGTTGAGTGCTTTTGCTCCTAAGCATTGCTAAGACTATCCTGATTCTTTATGTTTAATAATCTAAAGATGTAAATAAGTTGGATGGGTGATAATCCATTACAGTGAGTATTCTCATTGAAGCTCATTCTTTCCTGAACTTCTAGAAGGTGTGGCTCTTCAATGTGGGTCTACCTCAGAGGTTGGCCCAGGAGAGTCAGGGTCAAGACTAAGAGTGCTCAGCCCCTTTGGACCTTACCGAAAGCACCCCGTATCTGTTGGGTTGGACAAACCCTTCACCTTCATCAGATGTTCCTGCTGTGCTTTTTTCCCAGTGAAAACTTTGGCTACCATGGAGGGTCTTAGTTCCCATGCTCCATTAGCTGAGTCCTGCTTCCCTCTGCTTCTCTTGGCACTGACACCACTACTATGCACGGCTCATAGCTGTGATTGATTTGTCCCCACCCATTTATATTTTGAGAGTCATGGAGGGGTGGGTCATAGGAACATCTACTTGCCTATCAATAGGGGCTTTGGTTTTGCAATCTAGTTAACATTTTTATGTGGGGATTCACGAAAATTCAGAAAGTATGCCACCACAGCCTTCATATCCCAGAATCTATTCCCCCTTGCTTTTAACCACCCACCGCCAAGTGGTCACCATCATCTTTACTGTGGTATTCAACAGTGTTTGGGTAGATTTGCCTCCATGGTTTCCAATTCCCTTGCTCACACTTCCTTCTTATATCTCACTCCTCCCTTCTGAGTTCAGTTTTCTTCTTCCTGGTCTATATCCCTCAGCACTTCTCTGAGGAAAGACCTGTTAGTAATCAATGTACTTAATCTTCGCCGGTATCTTTACACTCCTCCCCCCCTCCCGCTCTTGGTTTATAGTTTAGCTGATTATATCATTCTAGATGAAACTATTGCGCCATGGCCTTCTGGCTTCTAGAGTTTCATAAGTCTGTTATGTTATTTATTATCTGTCCCTTCCTAGACAATTCCTAAATTCAATAGGGTAAAGTTGCAGGCTGGTAGCAAGGTGAGCACTGAGAGGAGAAAATAAGATTTAGTAAAAAGGGAGAGTGCGCTTTAAATGGCATTAGCTATGAGCAGCAGCCAGGCAGTGGCTCTGTAATGGCCCCATGTAGAGACACAATGATGCTGGTCAGGGACCCCCACTCTGAGGAATCCCCACTCAAGGCTCACTCCTGAGAGCATAAGGATCCCTCTGGCCTCCAGGAAGCTAAGCCTGGGGCTACTCAAACAGCTTTCTTGCTATTTCTCAAAGGCCTGTCCAAACTTCATGCCACAAAGAGCAACAATCGTCTCCCTAAACCCCTGGGAGGGGGCAGCCTATGGGCTAAATGAGTGTGCCCCCCACCCCCTTTCAAGAAACCTCAGCCCAACCTCATTCCCAGGCCTGAGGCCCCAATCTCAGGCATCCACACTCTCCACTCTCATCCCCACATCCTTCCACTCTCTTAAGTGCTCCAGATCAGGCCCCGTTGAAGTCTCTTAATTCCTGAACAACCTGTCCTGCCTTAGGGGCTTTGGAACTATCTCCACCTGTCACCCATCTTCACTCAAGTTTTGGCACGAGTGGCTCCTTGTCATTCAAATCTCACATGTGTTACCCCCTTGGTGAGGTCTCTCCAAACCAAACTCAAATTGTTCCCCTATCTACCCAAATATCCCTCCTTCAGCCCCAAGGAGCACTGTTAAATCTTCCCACCATTTTACCCATTAATGTTTTGCTTATCCTCCATAAGGGTGAGGGCCCCAAGGATGTTCACCATTACAACCCTATGACATAAAGATGATCAAATAAATGGCCAAGTAGATTCCGCTTAAGGATGGTAGGTTGAATCTGGCATTAACTCCACTCCCTCCCAAATTTGCACTATCAAATGACATCAAAGAGTTTTGTGGTTTTTTGTTTTTGTTTTTTTTTTAGGCCTAAACTCACAAAGAGAATGGGAGATAAGTCAGTTTGGAATCTGAAACTGATATACAAGTGGAATCCTCTTAGCAAGTTTAAGACAGCAGGTTCCTATGAGCTAAGGGATAGACCCAGGAGAGCCTGATTATTCCATGGAAATTCTCGGGCTCAGAGAGACTGAAGCTCTTCATGGACAGACATGGTTTGGGGCTCAGAAGGACCTCCAAACACCATTTCTACCACCTACTTGTTTCCACTCAAGCAAAGCCCTGTCTCCAGCCCGTTCAGTTCCAAAATGTAATCCACAGCCCCTTCTCTAGGGGTGGTCCTAAGATGGTGGTGTTGGGAGTGCCTGGCCCAGGGTAGGTACACCACCTGTCATTTAAGAGCAGGTGATGGGCCAAGGGTGACCTTGGGCCAGGTGGGGCACCTCAGTCCCCCAGAGGAGCTCACCTTGGAAAGGAACTGAAAGTGAAAATGGCATCACTCAGTAGGAGGTCCAAGATTTGCAGACAAAGCCATCTCACAGCCAGACCTGCATGCTCCCAGACATTTCTTTTTCCCCACCAGCCAGGAGAGCCTCCCAGGGAATCAGCTGGCCCTTTGAGAACCAGGGATCAGGGCATTTTTAAGCAGCCAAAAGATGCTACAATCACAGGCTATATTTAACCTGCTCTTAACTGTGAACTGGTTAACTACCTAAGGCCCTCCTTGTGTGACATTCCCTTAAGCGAGTTCTAGGGACAGAGTTCCTGTCCAACTTAAAGCTGGGCTTCTCCAGGGCTACCTCCCACCCTCGCCTCACTCCTACATTGATACTGCTGGGAGACCCTTTGCACCAGATTCTCTGCAGCTTTCCCCATGTAGCTTGTTCCAGGATTTATTCTGCTTCTCCATACAGGGTCTCCAGGGACCAGCAAAGGGAAATGGGGTTAGAACAGGACAAAGGGATGAGAACCCTATAGGGATCTTGCCAAGGGTCAGGATAATCACTGCTTTACCTGGCATTGGCTTTGATGTAGCTTTTTGGATCAAAGGCTGAGCAGCCAGGGAACTGAGCAAGCCACAAGTAGGCAAAGGGAAATGGGTCTATCATCAAGACCTCCTGCCCTTCCCAGGTGCATGGTCCACCCACCCAGGCAACATTGATAAATATAAAGGGAAGTGGCCATTGTGACTTCTGTCCATCTGGCTACTATTAGGGGATTTTACTCATAAAAATCTCATCAGAAACCAAATTAAAACACCCCATATCAGATGACTATATTTTTAGTTTTTACATGATCTCTGTATACAATCTACTTTTACTGTTTCATTTACACCCAAAATATATTACTTCAGACATTTGGGAGAAGCCTCTGTGTTACAAATAACAGACACTTTCATTTAGTTATCACCAAGAAATCAATCACAAGGATTTCAAGTAAACTGTTCGTTTATTTGCATTGGGACTGCAACTTAGCAGTTTCCAGTGAATATGCAGAACTGCAAGGAAATGACAGAACAAGGTGAGGGTCAGATACGTGAATGGCAGGTTCTTATTTCTTCCACTCGTTCTTGTCGTAGTCCCACTTGGCAGAGAAGCCCTGGATCGGGCTGACCTTCATGTCGAGCATCCTCTTGGTCTGCTTGGCCACCCATTCCTTTTCGAAGGTGTGCGGGATGGGGCCATACACTACAGTTCAAAACATGAGACAACACTATCTTAATTAGTTGTTTCTGAAATAATGTGCTATACTGGTTAGGTCTACTACAACATACGGGAAGGCAGGTCAGTGAAGTCGTCTGCCACTCAGCACCAATGCCTATGCAAATGTGCTGGTTTTCAATTCTGGGCACTGACAACTCTTGACAGTTCCAAATTATTCGTTTGTAAGTTAGCAATTAAACACTTAAGCTAAAATCAGAATGTTTTCTCTATAGGATACAGCTAATGGAGTTATAGAATAGCACAGAGCATAAACAGAGCCAAGGTGACTTGGGAGAGGATCGAAGATATATTCACAATCAAACCAAAAGTACAAGATTACTATCTACTCAGAATGGGAAAATACCTATTCTGCCTGGACATACAGAACACAAAAGAGGCAGCTCTGGGATGAATAGACAACCCCAACACTGAGCACAAACTATTAGGTCTTCTGACCCAGAATTCAAGATATTGAGATGCAGTCCCTAAACAGCTAAATGTCCTTCAATGAGTAAGTTTTCTTCTCTTTTATCCAACCTTTACTACATCACCTGATAACTGACTGGTGAGCAAATATCTAATGAAAATGTGGTGTACTGCACAAAGTATAGCAGTTCACTACCATGCAGCTATGGCTCACCCTGAATGAGATTCTGGCTTGGACAACTTCAGTTCACACAAGCCAGTTTCACAAACCTGACCAACAGTCCTGGGATGAAACCTAAAATGAAGGACCCTATCTTATGTGAAGGCTCCCCACCCCAGCCCACTCCTGGGAACTGTGCTGGGAGCTGTGTGGCTAACTCTGGTTGTTGTGTTGCTGGGGGCTTTTCACCTGAACCATTCCAGCATCCAGACCCTTGTTTCCTCTACTCACCATAGCGCTTCTCCCACATCAGAATGAGAGCAGTGAAGCCGATGAAAAACATGGCCGCACCCACAACTGTCTTCCATTCATTCGTGCTCCTGTTCATTTCAGCAAAGCTCTCGTTGAACTTGATGCGATACACTGGGAACATACAAGAACAGCCAGCAAGCTAAGGAGACCAACCACTCCGTCATCCACAATGTTCCTCCACCATTTATCCCCCAATACAGTGAGGGAGGAACATGGAGCTGAGAAATACAACAGAGAGGCCTGAGGCCATAATACACTCATGCATGCACACACACAAGCTGTCACACATGCACCTATGGGGTCAAGGAGGTAAGAAAATGTACAAAGTTTGCTTTGGGCAAAATAATAAGAAAAATTAAGAGAAATGAAAAAAACTGAAATTTTCCCATAGAATACAGTATAAGGGCCAATTTAATTATTTTCATTCCCCTTTCCTACCTTGATGTTTTGCTGACATTATGTCAATAATTTATAGTAAACCCAGTACCACCCAGGACTGGCAGAGATGCTATATCCACATGCTACAGACTCAACTGACCCAAACTCTGCATCCATGTTCATGCTTCTCCCCAGGGTAAGAGCCCCATAAGCACAAAGGAACCTGGGCAGAGGTCGCCAGCCAGCAGATCACAGAAACTGGGCCCTGGAACAGCCCACAGAAACACCACACACCAAGCCTCGGTGTATACTAGCCTCTGGGCAGTACCCCAGTGCTCATAGTAAAAATGATCTCTCACACATTGTATCTTTCTTCCCTTCAATACCCACATTCAACTTTTTCATCAATCGATAGACTATTCCAGGGGTTCTTCTCCTTCTCTTTCAAGGCCTTCTGGCTGACAGAAAGGTTCTTGACGTGGGCCACATCGGGCAAGGGATAGTCACGTCGATCAACATAAGCCGGGAGAGAGAAGTCTTCACTCTTCACAACACTCCCTAAAAAAAAAAACAGTGGATAAATATTTGAAAATTCACATTGATTTACAGTTACAAACCAAGTGGCACTTTCTAAAAACCAAAAGAAGCACATGTATGCACACCCTGAAAACCTGTATTCCTAGGGGGCCGCAGCCACTGTTTCAAATAGCTGAAGGACTAGTATATGGAACAGGAAGCAGAATTGTCCTGTGTGGCCCAGACAGCCAAATGAGGATGGTGGGTAGACAGTTAACAGTAGCAGGCTTCATCACAGCAAAACAGAAACATACCAGGAGCAGCTGCTCAGAGAGGCATCATTTCTTGCAAATAAAAATATTCACACAGAGTAAGACCAAGGCACCCAGGGTGCCCTGCCCTAGATGGAGACTGAACTAAAGGAAGGCCCTTCTGCAAGTGACTCAAACTAATGAAGAACAAAAATGATATAAAACTCATAAAAGTAAGTATTCACTCTAGCTGGTTTGGGTTTCCAGATTGATTCCAGTCATGTATTTTGGTTGCAAGCTCCTCCCTGGCCCAGATCCCATTTGGGGTGCATGCAAGAGGCAACCAATCAATGTGTTTTTCTCACATCGATGTTTCTGTCTTTCCCTTTCTCATCCACTCTCTAAAATATCAATGGAAGCCCAGTCAGGATGGCTCAGTGGTTGAACGTCAACCAACGAACCAGGAAGTCATGGTTCAATTCCTGGTCAGGGCACATACCCAGGTTGCAGGCTCCATCCTCAGTATGGGATGTGCAGGAAGCAGCTGATAAATGATTCTCTCTCATCACTGATGTTTCCATCTCTCTCTCCCTCTCCCTTCCTCTCTGAAATCAATAATAATATATTAAAAAAAAAAAAAAAAACGATTAATGGAAAAACATTCTCGGGTGTTAACAAAAACAACAAAAAAGAAGTATTCAAAGTTGAGAAACAAAGACATATGAAAAGATGGTTCACTGTTATCGGGGGAAAAACACCTGTGTCCAATAGAGGATGCAATTAGCTCCTTAAAAATGTATATCAAGGAACCATTCATTCACCTGTTCAACAAATGTTTACTGAGCACCTGCTATATGCTAATTATGATTCTAGAAATCTGAATTCATCAGTGAACAAAGCATAGATTACCACCTACTGGTGGCTACATGCTCAAAATGGGAAACAAACAATAAACATAAAAGACATGTAAATTACAGAACGTGTTAGAAAATGAGCAAAGGAAGGGAATCAAGAGGATATTTATAGCAGGAAACAACTCACTACAGTAGAGAGAAGATCCATGTGTTCAAAAGGAAAAAACAATCATGTACTCATCAAATCATAGAACAGTATCATTGTTGTTTTATTTTCCTTTTTAAAAATGTAAATCATGTCTATATACTCATATAAACACAGAAGCCTCCTGGCAAAGTAAACTCAAGACATTATCAATTGAAGAGATGATGATGAAATGGGTTTTTCTGCTCAAATAGGAAGAAATTTTAGTTCTTTAAAATAAGCATGTACCCATTTATCCATGTACTCAATTAAATAGGGGAAAAGTTCAGACAGCAGAAAAGACCATTTTAGCTTGCTTTTACTTAGGGATTTCCCATTGCAAAAAGCAGTTTTATTCAATTCTATCAAATATCTGCAAGATGTTCCAAATTGTTCTAGAGGTATGAAGTCCTGCAAAAATGCTCTCCATTAGCTTAGTCTCGTGGTCAGCAAACTGCGGCTCGAGAACCACATGCGACTCTTGGCCCGTTGAGTATGGCTTCTCTACAAAATACCACGGCCTGGGCAAGTCTATTTTGAAGAAGTGGCATTAGAAGTTTAAGTTTAAAAAATGTGGCTCAGGCCGAAGCCGGTTTGGCTCGGCGGTAGAGCGTCGGTCTGCGGACTGAAAGGTCCCAGGTTCGATTCTGCTAAAGGGCATGTACATTGGTTGCGGGCACATCCCCGGTAGGAGGTGTGCAAGAGGCAGCTGGTCGATGTTTCTCTCTCATCGACGTTTCTAGCTCTGTATCTCTCTCCTCTCCTCTCTGTAAAAAAATCAATAAAATATCATTTTTTTTAAATGTGGCTCACAAAAGAAATTTAAATCATTGCACTGTTGATATTTGGCTCTGTTGACTAATGAGTTTGCCGACCACTGGCTTAGTCCCAATAGTTAAAATCTCCCAAATCATGTTAACAATAGTAAAATAAAACATTCAACCTATAGCAAAGCTGTATAATTTCTGTAGATACTTATCTTTGTCATACAAATGACTATCACTTTTATATTTTTACTTAATCTTAAAAGGATCTGATATGAAAATGGCTGAAATTACTTCCCAATTTTACAATTCTAAGATTCTATTAAAATGATGAATGAGCTAAAAATAATGAATGTATACTAGCACTCAGCTTACACAAGAATTATTAAAAATACACCTAATGCCAGTGTGGCTCAGTGATTGAGCATCCATCTGAATCAGGTGGTCATGGTTCAATCCTGATAAGGGCACATGCCAGGGTTGCAGGCTAGATCCCCAATGTGGAGCATGCAGGAGGCAGCTGGTCAATGATTCTCTCATCACTGATGTTTCTCTCTCTTTCCCTCTTTGAAATCTATATTAAATATATATCTAGTGATGTCATAGCCTACAGGGATTGGGCCTAAACAAGCAGTAGAACATCCCTTGAGGGATCCGATTGGAGAGGGTGCAGGCTGGGCTGAGGGATGAATTTTGTGCACCAGGCCTCTAGTACTTAATAAATGACTATGTTACTGGTTTATGTCTTCACTATATTGTACTTTTTATTATTATAATGTCCTCTTCCTGCTTATAAGTTATCTGTTAACAGTGTGTCATGTTACACTGGCAGCAGCCTCATCCGTATCGAGGTTACCATTCTTGATTATATCGTTTTCTCTTGTGCTTCACTTAATCTCATGCTGTTTTGTTCAGTGACATGCTGCATAGGCTTGGAGCCTGGGAGCAATAGGCTATGCCACACAGCCTAGGTGTATAGTAGGCTCTACCATCTAGGTTTGTGAAACTGCCTAACGACACATTTGCCAGAATGTATCCCAGTCGTTAAGCAGGATATATTATGTTATGTAAATGCTCATAACCCAGGAGCACTCTAAGCATAATACCATTTTCTAGAACAAGAATGGCCAATTTGTGATCTCAGGGCTGCTAGAGGCTCTTCAGAACTTGGGGCCAGATCTCCAGCAATTGGAGGGTGGCAAGAAGCAAAGATTAACTTACCAAACATTCCTTCTCAAGAGAAAAGGGTTTGACTCAGTGGTTAGAGCATCAGCCTGTGGACCAAAGGGTCCAGGGTTCAAATCTGCTCAAGGGCACATATCACAGTTGCAGGCTCCTTCCCAGCCCAGGCCCCGGTGGAGCACGTGCAGGAGACAACCAATCAATGTGTCTTTCTCACATCAATGTTTTTCTGACTTTCCCTCCCTCTTCCACTCTCTCTCTCTAAAAATCAATGGGAAAAATATCCTTGGGTGAGATTTAAAAAAAGAGAGAGAGAAAAGTTCTAGCTGGTTTGGCTCAGTAAATAGAACATTGCCTGCATACTGAAGGGTCCTGGGTTTGATTCCAGTTAAGGGCACATGCCCCAATGTATCCCCAGTAGGGGGAATGCAGGAGGCAGCCAATCAATGATTCTATCTCTCCCTCACCCTTACTCTCCGAAATGAATAAAAATGTTTTTAAAAAGTTAATAATGAAAGTAAAAATAAAAAGAGAAAAAAAAAGAATTTACATTCTAGAGAATGTTCTGTCATTTCTATCCACAGCTTGGATGGCCTTTTGGCTGAGCCTCTGGGAAATCTGATGAATTTGAGTTCTCTTCACAATCAGATGTGTCATCGAACAAATATCAAACAGCAGCTACCAATGGCACTCCATATTGTATTACTATTTTATGTGAATAACCAGTTCATATAGTCATGTATCACTTATACAATTAAAAGTTATAAAGTAGGCCCTAGCCAGTTTGGCTGCGGACTAAAAAGTCCCAGGGTCAATTCTGGTCAAGGGCATACTAGTATACCTCGGTTGCAGGCTGGGGACCTGTGCAGGAGGCAACCAATGGATGTCTCTCTCACATCGATGTTTCTCTGTCTCTCCACTTCCCTTCCACTCTTCCTAAAAATCAATGGAAAAATAACCTCAGGTGAGGATTAACCACAAAAAAAAAAAATAGTAGCCCTAACCGATCTGGCTCAGTGGATAGAGCGTCGGCCTGCGGACTAAGAGTCCCAAGTTCAATTCCAAATCAATGTACCTTGATTGCGGGCACATCCCCAGTAGGGGGTGTGCAGGAAGCAGCTGATCGATGTTTCAAACTCTCTATCCCTCTCCCTTCCTCTCTGTAAAAAAACAAACAAACAAAAAAAAAAACACTCCACCAAAAAACTTAAAAAAAAAAAAAAAAATGGAGCCAAAACTGGTTTGGCTCAGTGGATAGAGCGTCAGTCTGCAGACTGAAAGATCCCAGGTTCGATTCTGGTCAAGGGCATGTACATCAGTTGGGGGCACATGCCCGGTAGGGAGTGTGCAAGAGGCAGCTGGTCGATGTTTCTCTCTCATCGACGTTTCTAGCTCTCTATCCCTCTCTCCTCCTCTCTGTAAAAAATCAATAAAATATATATTTTTTAAAAATAGAGTAAATAACCTGACTTCTCTAATGGACTATAATTTTCCTCGTCTGCCTACTGTGTGCTAGAGATGCAGTAATGAGTAATTCAGGCACGGTCCCTGGACTCAAAAAACTTTCACTCTAGAGGCACCGACAGACAAAACTCAAACATATATACAAACCCACAGTATGTAAGTGCTCTAAGGAAAAACAAAGCAAAGCAGGGTGATACGATGGAGCATTTTTAGAATAGGTGTTTAGGAAAGGCTCTTCTAAAACACAATTTGCATGGAGGGAGATGATTAGAGGCAACCACCCACAACTCAGGAGCTGAGGCAGGAGGGACCAACCTAATGTGTATGAGGAAAAAATACTGTATACTGACAGCTGGGCCTTCACCAAACAAGGAGGGCTGGTTGGGCTCTTTACTTGAGTATGATATAATGAGATCAGAGGCCAACTTCAGATCTTCCTTTAGGTATGAGAAGGCACTGGAGGGTTTCAAGAAGGGACTGCTTTAACCTTACTTCCTCACCACAAACAATACCTAAGAGTAAGTCACAGCCAATACCACTAAAAGGAGACAGAAGTTGGCTTCTTATAAAAGAGCAGAAAGGCCAAAGATAGATGAAGGAATTTGGGGGGTGATAGAGATGTATGTCCTGATGGAGTGGTATCCATATTTCACGTTCCATAAATTATACCTCAAACAAACGCAACAAACAAAAAACTATCAGCAAACCAAAATGAAAATAAAATGTGATCTTTGTCATAGTGATCTCTTAGGCTTTTAATGAAGGTGTTTCTTTCTGTATGTATGAAACAATGATTTTTTTTTCTTTATTACTTACTTGTAATAATAACAGACATTTCAATAACACTCTTAATAAAATGATCTGTTTGAGAGTCTGTATCCATAGTGTTATCCTGGGCAATAAGGAATATAGAGAAATTTAAGACAACAGTATCACTAATTAAAGGACATAATTTCAAGAAAAATTCACATATAAAGCAGTTCAGTTAATAGAGAAGTTACTAGTTATTGATCCCTAGATACATAAACCTTGCTTTCCAAGTTCATCATCAACCACTCAAGCCTTGCAATTGACTCTTCAGTAACACACATTGCCATGCTGACTCGAATTTTGTCCTTTTGCTTGCTTTCCCTCTGCCTAGAATGCCATTCCTCTATTGAATGTGAGGTTAAACCTACTAGTCTTTCAGCAAAGCTTCTCCTCCAGAAGCTTCCTCTGAACTCCAAGCCAGACTATAGGCTTCTACTCAGGGGCATCTGTTACTGAAACACTGACTGTATGCATCTGTCCCTCTCCAGGCTGCAAACATTCTTGCGGAAAGATTCCACATTTCATATTGGTTTTATTCTCCGTGCCTGACAGTGACTGGTACAAAGAAGATGCTTCATAAGTGTAAAACTGAACTTGCTATGTGCCAAGCACTGAACTAAGCTCTTTTCATATATTTCAGGTAAGAAAACAGATTCCTAAACTTAAGTAGCTAGTCTGAAACTAAAATGAGATTAAACCCAGCTCAAGTAGGAAGCTCTTCAAATGCCCCAATAATGTAAACAGTATTAAAGGTAAGTGATTGAAAGTTTTTTTGGAGGGGGAGAGGTGATTAAAATCTGGTATAGTTCAGAGGAACTCTCGAAAGGGGTGGAACTTGAACTTGAAAAGGAAAAAAGGAGAAAATATCAGTAGATGCAAAGACCCAAGACTAGTATTCAATGATTCACAAATAATCTTTCGTCTAGAACTATATATCCCCTGTTAAAATACTTAATTCCCCTCCTCCCCAAATCCCTCAACACCAGGATTTTAGCCATCTGTGTTTAAAACTCCAGCAAAGGGCCTTACACATAGCGAGAGCAAAAAGAAATTAGCTCAGCCTATTTAAAAGTAAAGTTAACTTACCGTGTGCTCGTGCACACGCTGAGGTGGAAATTGCTCGCTTGCCAATCAGGCTAAATACTCTGGTAGTCAACATTCTGAAAGATAAAAGTGTACACCTTCTCTATGAATGAGGACAAACACCTTTAGGAACAATCTCTCCCCCCTCCCCCCCCCCCCACGTGCATTTTCATAGTCAATGCAATTCTTTTGTTTTCTTCTCCCCAGCACAAATGGTCCCTTCATTACTGACCCTGAATTCACAAAATAACCTAGGGTAAGGTTTTTCTTGGTAATCAGCACGTCTTTATGGAATCTCATTATAAACCAAATGCCATAATATATACAAGATTCAGGTAATTGGTAGAAAATTGGCTTCCTTAAAAAACAAGGAGAAAGTATTATGACACTGAAAAAGCTAGAAATAATAAAGCACTGTGGTGCCAAAATGAGCTCCATTGTTCGGAGGGAAAAGGTAACTAATGACTCACAGGAACTGTGGCTTGCGCTGCATTCCACTTAGTATTTAGGAAGGGGAAACCGGGAGAAAGGCTGCAAACACGGGCCTGGTTCAATTCCAATCCCTGCAGATAAGGGAGACCTGGATGACCCACACCTCACCTGGACCCTTCCTGATTCAGGCCTATCTCTCCTACCTACCATTCCTTTAAAATTGGACCTATCGCTGAAACCGGTTTGGCTCAGTGAATAGAGCCTCGGCCTGCAGACTGAAAGGTCCCGGTTCGAATCCGGTCAAGGGCATATACATAGGTTATGGGCACATCCCCAGTGGAGGGTGTGCAGGAGGCAGCTGGTGGATGTTTCTCTCTCAATGATGTTTCTAACTCTCTATCCCTCTCTCTCTGTAAAAAAAAAAAAAAAAAAATATATATATATATATATATATATATATATATATATATAATCAATAAAATATATTTAAAAAAAATAAAATTAGATGAATAGGCTCTCCAACACTTTCAGAAAAGACCCCAACTGGGGCCGAATAAACAGAAGCATGAAGTCAGAGCCGAACTTCCTCCAGAATCGCTTATATCTCCCCCACACTGCCAGGCCCGCGTGTGGGTGGACGCTGGACGCCTTCCAGACGGGGAAGCGGAGCGTCTCCACCCGAGCCCCGTTAAACCCGGGGAGATCGTGCAGACATCGTTTGAAAGGATCAGAGCAGAGGCTGCAACGCAGGCCCCAGGCCGCTCCCGGAAGGCCAGCAGGCGACCTGCCCTTAGTGTCCGCTCCCTCGACTAGCGGGCGCTCCAAGGTCAGAGCCCAAAGCCAGAGCGCGGTCAGGGCAAGGCGGGAGGAGCCGGACGGAGGCTTCAGAGCCGCACCTAGGCCGCGACCCGGCGGGCCCTTAAGTCTGAGGGAAAGCGGTCCCTCGGAATCCGGCCTCAATGTCAACGGGTCTGAGGGCCCAGCGCCGCTTCCTACTGGCGCCGGGCAGCGGGCATTCAGGCCCGATGGCTTCCGACCCCGACACTCCCCGGCTTCCCAGCGGCGCGGACCGGCCACCGCTCGCCTCACCTGCCGCCGCCGCCGCCGACCAGCTGCAGCCCACCGCGCCCGCTGCGACCGCCCTCTACACCCCGGTTGCTCGCGACCGGAAGAGAGCGAGGCCGTGCCGCAGAGCACCACGGGATCGCGGAAGACTCCACCCCGCGCCCGGCAGCGCTAGAGGTCACTGAAGAGGAAGGAGGGAAAAGCCGAAAAGCCGCGAACGTCGTAAAACGCCGGGCTGGGCTGCTTTACGTCGGGCGCCGAGGGACCGCTTTCCGGCGGCGCCGGGCGAGTTGCGGGAGTAGAGTCTGAGGCACGCGAGTCGACTTCCTCGTGCCGGAGTCGATGTCCAGGGGATCCCAGCCCAAAGTGTGGGTGAGCCTGCGGGGGGCTTCCGTCAGTCGCCGGGCCGTGGAAAGCAGTTGCCGCCTCGTCCCACTTCTCCGCTGAAGCGTCGCGCGGCCGGGCAGCGGACCCAGGCCTCAGCCGGCGCCCAGGGCCTCCGGGGCCAACCCGGGCTCAGCATGCCCGGGGTGAAGCTGACCACCCAGGCCTACTGCAAGATGGTGCTTCACGGAGCCAAGTACCCGCACTGCGCCGTCAATGGACTGCTGGTGGCTGAGAAGCAGAAGCCGCGCAAGGAGCACCTGCCCTTCGGCGGCCCGGCCGCCCAACACACACTCTTCGTGGACTGTATTCCCTTGTTCCATGGCACCCTGGCCCTCGCCCCAATGCTGGAGGTGGCGCTCACCCTGGTAAGCGTGGGAACGGCTCCTGGCCGCCCCTCGGAGACTGCCACGCCGGCCCTGCTGGAGGCTGACAGGCGTCCGGCGGGATCGGGAACCTCCCTCTGAGGTCGCCGTGACGGTGGCGGAGGCGAGGACCCGCGAGAGCGCGGAGATCTTTGCCCGGCCCTTAGGCTCTGCCCCGCAGATGGCAGCTTGTGGTAGCAGTGGTCCCAGGAGCCACCCTAACCGTCGTGGGTGTTTTTAAAGGCGCTTTAGGCAACGAATAACACATTCATTTCCTCAAAACCGAAGCCTTTATAGAAACAAGCTGTCGTTAACTGGGTAATGGTTCGAAGGCGTTGACATTTGGGTTTATCTCTTCCCGTTTGTGACTTATCTAGCATGCTGCCCTGGTTTTAAGAGCTCAAGACTTTGTAAGATTAAAAAGCCGGAGGCAGTGGTACATTATATCCATCACACTTTTATGTGTCTTAAAATGACTGCTTTATTGAAGCACAGTGGGGAAGACCATGGACTACGGATAAACTGGGTGGTAATTTAATTACAGGCAATAGTTTTTGTGGTATCGTGATCAATAAGGGGAAAAAGGCCACCTTAGTAAGTTTCTATGAGTTGTTAAAACCTTAGAAATAAACTAACCTCAGACCTGCCTCAGTTCCTGATCTGAAATGCTGTGTATTTTTCTTTTAAATATAATAAACTATGACTAAAAACTACTTGCAAAAAGTAGTTAAATTTGAGAAGGCATAGATAGGAATCCTATTTCTATACATCTCATCAAGTAAAATAAATATCCATTTCACAATTTACCTGATTATGACACCCATGTAAATTGGTAAGCAGGAATTACCTTTGGGCAAATGGTCCTGGCTCATGCTCACTGGGCATGCCTTTGAGTGCCTATTAAATTGGGTCATTGTGTGAATTTCTTCATAGCATCTCTAAGCAGGAGATAGATAAGAAGTAGATGATATTTATAAAAGCAACCATTGTAGCTTCTGAAGAAATGTACTGTTAATACCAAAACATCACTGGGGTGTACGTGTGTATATTTTAATACAAGTCTTTTCAACCAGCTATCTTAATTATTCTGTCATCAAGGGAATTGCAGGCTGCTTGGATGTGTAGTGTATTCACTTGCAGAGAATTAGATTTACTAGTTGCATTAATGCAATCATTTCTCCAACAGTACCAGGCCTGTGATGGAGGGATTCAGCTGTATATCAAACACAGTACCTGCTTAGCAGTTGAACTTGTGTCAAGCAGACAAACACAGTGCTGAAGAATAAGTGTCATATGTGGGGTTAAGAAGAAAATGGTGAGAAGTCCAAGAGAAAAGTCAGCTAACCAAGGCTTACAGAGTTAGGAAAGGCAGGCTGCTCAAAGAAAGAAACATGCAAATAGTGGCCCAGAGGGCCAGCCATAGTAACCCAGAGAGTAGAGGGAGAACATTCAAGGCAGAGGAACCAGCATGTGCAAGAGGCCAAGGGTAAAGGTGAACAGTGGACAGATATCATTGTAGAGATCCTGTAGATCACACAAAAGAAATTGGGCACCATTATGAGGTCAGGGAATCCTCTAGCCTACAGCAAAGAGAATGTTGGGGTCCTTGCTGGTTTGGCTCAGTGGATAGAGCATCTGCCTGTGGACTGAGGGTCCCAGGTTCTATTCCAGTCAAGGGCACATGACCGGGTTGCAGGCTCAATCCCTATTAGGGATTGTGAGGAGGCAGCTGACCAATGATTCTCATCATTGTTATTTCTATCTCTCCCTCTTCCTTCCTCTCTGAAATCAACAAAAATATATTTGAGAGAGAGAGAATGTTGGAGACAGGAGTACATAAAAGACTAGAGGCAGTGTGAATGCAGAGAAGGATCAGGGGGAGCCTGGAGGAAAAATCCACAGGACTTGGTGACTAATGGAATGTGGCCATAGGGAAAAGGAAGCAAGAGGGAATCCTCAGTTTCTGAATTAGGCATTGAGAGTACAGTGTTTCCTTTCATTGAGGGAACATGAAGACAACCTAGTGTTGAAGTTGAATGCATCTGGAGCTCAGGAGATGGAAGGGCTGGAGACATAGATTGGGGACCAGTAGCTTCTCAATGACTTTTGAAGATGTAAGAGCAGGTCATGTTGGCCAGGACTGTGTGTAGAATGAGGATAGCTTTGAACAGAAGCCAGAGGAACTACCGGTATAGCTTTTTCAAGGTGAATGGAAGAACAGGAGTCACAGGGTAGTTGAGTAGCCAGTAGGAGGAAAAGAAGTATTGCTTTAAATCCATATACAATCCTGTCAGAAATACATAGATAGAGACAGACTTGAACTTCACTGGGAATTAGTATTTAAAAATAGCTGAAACCGGTTTGGCTCAGCGGTAGAGCGTTGGTCTGCGGACTGAAAGGTCTCAGGTTTGATTCCGGTCAAGGGAGTGTACGTTGGTTGTGGGCACATCCCCGGTAGGGAGTGTGCAAGAGGAAGCTGGTTGATGTTTCTCTTTCATCGACGTTTCTAGCTCTCTCTCTCCCTTCCTCTCTGTAAAAAAATCAATAAGATATATATATAGTTTTTAAAATATTACAGAGTTAAAGAGTTACATCCCTACTAGAGGCCCGGCATACGAAATTCGTGCCCAGGTACGGTCCCTAGGCCTGGCCTGCAATCAGGGCCATCTTCCCCAGCTGCCTGCAGCTGGCCCCAGCCGCTGCCGTCACCCACCGGCTCTCCATTTGCTATCAGGTGATCAGGGGAAGGAATCTAGAGGTGGTCGATGCACCTCATAGTGACTGATCCAAAGGTCATTCTAGTCGTTCTGCCATTAGGGTCAATTTGCATATTTTACCCTTTTATTATATAGGATGACAAGATATGAGTGCAACACTTGAAAGAATGAAATATGTATACTAACTATAAACAACTGCATTTGAGTCACCATTGCATAAATTTTCCCCTTGGAGCAGGGCTGCTTCCCATACCACTTACCTGGTCAGGAAGATGGCTAGAGATCTTGACTCTTAAGATGGGTCCGCTGTTAAGAGGGAAAGAAGTCCTGTTCTAACCTTTCTCACCCTTGTCATTACACTCTGCACTCCAGACTCTCAGCACTTCCCCCTTCAACGTTTGAGTCTCCCATCCTGCAAACTTAAGTCCAAACTAGAATCTCTGAAATAACTTTTTTTCAACAGTAAAAACAAACACCTGAAGTTCTGTATTTACTGAGCAGTGGTGGTGTATGCTGGCTTTTCTTACTTACATTGACAAAAACTGAATCGTAGCCTCAGTGTTTGACAAACATGAAAAAAATGCTAATCATTAAGTACAAATTAAATAACTTTCAAAGTAAAGTTATAAAGGAAAATTTTGCCTTCTGAGTCCATCCAAAAATTTTGTATTACAGTTAAACAGTATTTAAATTTATATCACTCAGCTTTTGACTTAGCAACTTTGTAACCTGAAGGCAATGAAAGATCTCAGTGCCATAGTTTATTAGTGTATCGGCTGATACACTGATGTAATTTTAATAAAGCGCCTAAATCCATGAAATTGTATAAATGAGGCCTTATTCTCAGGTTATTTTTTTCTATTTAGGGAATTTCATATTGTAATTATTTTTTTATAAGTGGGAGAGGCTGAGTTGATATATAGCCATAGGGCAACATCAGATTCTTTTGAAAAGCTTTTCATTATAATTTTCCATTTTAAAAAAGTTCTTGCATTTCTTAGTGCTTTTTATTTTTTTATTTGTATACTATTATCTTATTTATCTTTATAACCTTTTGACGTAGGTAGTGGCAGAATTATGTGTAAGACCAAAAACCCATAAAATGTTAGTAGGAAAATTAGCATAGACCCTCTATTTCTCTTAGCCCTTTCTGTCCTTTTCCCTCTTTGATTTCCTAATTCAGTGGAGCAGCCTTTGATTACATTCTGCTCAGATGACTTTCTTATTTGCCAGTTGGCCTGAATTCTTCCTGTTGCTTCCATGTGTGCCTTCTCTGGGCTCATTTGCAGGAGCTGCTATCCTCTGGCCCTTTCCTAAGCCCCCTATTTGCCCCTTGTTTATTTTCAGAACATTCATGTGCTAGCTTGAGAGAGGGAGATGTTTACTCTGGGTCTACCTTTCAGTTCTTCCACCTGACTTCTCCCTCTGTCCCACCCCATTCACCTCCAGACCTCTTTTATGGAGCCAGCTACTCTCCGTTCCATAGAAAACTCAGCCTCCCACTTAAGAAAGAGCTTTTTTTCTCAAGGAAATGAACAACCCCTCTAAGTTTAGCCTCCAAGTCCTGCTTGTTGCCACAGCCCTCCTCAGAGTGGCTCTTTATCAATGCCCTGTCTTGCCTACATTATGTCTGTTATATAGTCATGAGAGGTAGGTGACAGTACTTTGAAAATTGTAATGTGCCTCACGTATGCAAATATTAGCAAGTTTGCTGAGTGAAGCTACTTTGTGCTGTGTCTAATTGGGAATGAATGGGTTGAACCCAGTGCCTTCAGTAGTTCTAGTGCCTGGCCTGGAATGCGCCAAAAATTGCATTGACTAGAGAGGATATCAGGCTTATGCCAAGGCTAAGGTGTCCTTCTTTCTCTCTGAAAAATAAAAGAAACTACATGAATAAATACAGAATTGGGACTCTTGTATTCAGAGTCAGTTTTACTAAGTTGACATTAGGTTTCAGGGTGTTATATGAACTTTTATTTTCATTTTGATTATTCACAAAATGCATGACAGAAGTAGGGAATTATAGCAGCAAGGGAAGGAAAATGGAAACAGAACCGGTTCACCGAAATCAAAGGTCAAACCACTCCTCAGCTCTTTTACCTTACCCCGCCCCACGTGGGAGGAAGCAAGTTGTCTTTACTGAGCAAGTTACGGCTTAAATCCACTAGGATTTTTATTAATGAGCCATTATGTTGGGCTTACTGCAATATTCTGGAGGCCCTGCCTGCCCCATCCCCATCCCCACCCCAACCCCTGCCCACACTGTTCATCTTCCACACCCTGACTTTTACTTCACAATCACCTAATATCTGGTACCATTTTCAAGACTATCAAAGAAAACTTTTTCCTTATTAAAACCTGTTACCAGGATAGAGTGGCTCAAGTGGTTGAGCTTCATCCTGGGCACTGAAAAGTTACCAGTTTGATTCCTGGTCAGGGCATGTATCTGGGTTGCAGGTTCAGTCTCCAATTGGGACACTTATAGAATGCAATTAATTGATCTCTCTCTCTCTCTCTCTCTCTCTCTCTCTCTTCCTCTTCCCCTCCACTCCACTCTCTCTTTCCCTCCCCCTTCTTTCCTCTCCCTAAGCATGTCCATAGGTGAAGACTTTTTAAGAGAGGGGCGGGGGGAGCTTGTTTACCCTATCTCTGTGGGCTCTGGTAGCTGATGGAAGGCCTTAGTCCTACATTTCTGACTTTCGTGTTCTCCATTCCTCAGTTGGTGGCCAATTGCGTCTATATCTGGACAGTTAACTTGGTTATTCTTGTTTAAATCACTTAAAAGTTTCTAAAAACAAGAAGAGCTTTATGATCAGGTTCACTTTTAGAGTAGCCTATTCAGAGAGTTCTTCTAGAAGTTCAGGGTCATGACAATTTTATGCTGGAATTTGGCTAGGCCCTTGAGGTTCTTTATACAGGAATTTGCCCTTGTCAGCTAAAGTGTAAGTCAAGGTGTGCAGTGTGTTTGCTGAGGAGTCCTGTACCCTTGCCTTCAACCCAGGAAAGGGTTCTAATAGCAGCTTAGACTGCTCACTAAAAACTGCAGCTGGGGATGGTCGGGACATCACCAGTAGTAGCAAATAATTATCTTATCCTTATATAAAAGTAGCTGGTGTGACTCAGTGGATTGAGCATCATCCCATGCACCAAGATGTCACTGGGGCCATGTAGGACACAGCCAGTCGATTTTTCTCTCCCATCAATGTATCTTTCTCTTTTTTCTTCTCTCTTCCTCTCTCTAAAATCACTTTTAAAATATATATATTTTTTAAAAATAGCTGTGATCAGCCCAAAAATATCCCCCCAAAATGTCCACATTCTACTCCCTAGAACCCATGAATATGTTACTTGGCAGATGAAGATTACAGGTTTTGAGATTATCCTGGATTATCTGATGAATCTAGTATAAGGGTTCTTAAAAGAGGGAACCAAAAATTCACTCAAAGATGAGAAGCAGAGGTCACAGTGATGCAGCCACTAGTTAAGGAATGTGGATGACCTTTAGATGCTAGAAAGAGTAGCATTCTTCTGTAGAGCCATTGTAGACTTCTGACCTATAAAATAATAAGTCTGTGCCATGTTAATCCTCTAAGCTTGTGTAACTTGTTACAAGGACTGTAGGAAACTAATACAGTAGCCAAAGTTGGAACACATCACTAGTTCTTACTCAGGATATAAGGACAAACCCATATCAGAGGGCAGGGAGAGGGACACCAAAGTGGGCAGAGGCCACTTTGAGTGAGGACACACTCCAGAGGGTGGTCTTTGATTAGAAACAAAGGCTGGGAAGGTTACATTAAAGGGGTGACTAATCTAATGGGAAAGGGGGTCAGGTGCCACATTTTAAAGCTAGACTCTACCCTTTGGTTCTACATAGAGGGGTGTGTGTGTATTAATGAAAGACATTGCTGCTATAAACAGCAATGGAAAGTTTCTAGAAGCCATTTCTTTAAGGGGTGAAAGAACAAAATACTGTATAGATAATTTTGGAGTCATTTGCAGCAAAGTTACAGTGAAAGAGCCATTATAAATATTTTGGAGACACAGCCCTAATCTTTTGGGTAGATGGCCAAAATATCTAATTGGTTCAATAAGCCTTGTTTTTGACCCAATATGGTAATTCATGAGCTCTTAGGAGGCCAGAATTATTCTAATCCTCCTGTTAGCCAGGGAACCTTGAACTGTAACCGTCTTGTAATGTCTGCTTTTAGTCATAAAGGAGACTGAGGTCCAAACCAGAATTCAAGAAAAAGAGCCATAGGACTATATTAAACAAAAAAATGAAAAGAAAAAAACATTTTAACCAGTTAATTCACTGTGAAAAACACAAGAATCAATTTTTCTTCTGCAGACTGAGAATAGAATTTATTGCAGTATATTATTAAAATTCCATTATGGCAAAACAGGATGACCTTTTGTTTTTAATAATAGCATTAGACCTGCAGGAAGCTAAATCTGATGAGAGAAGAGTGGTATTAAAAACGGACAAAATAACTTTCAGAGTCAGCCACCATGTTCCCATTTAAAAGCATGCCACATGGAATTGAGAGTGTGTATGTGTGCACCCGCACGGGGGCATTTCTGCCTGCATCTGCCCACTTGTGCATGATGCAAAAAGGCTTGGTTTCAAAAGAGACTTAGATGCCCTACTGGGTTACGCAAACTTGGAATTTCTGAGCTTTAGATTGCTTATCTGTGAACGATTGATTTAAATGATCTTAAGTATTTTTCACGCCCCAGAATGCCTCAGTTCTTTATATTGTAAGAGAAGGTGGGTAAAGATGGTCTCCTCTACCCCACCTCCCCACAGCACCTCACCTGTTTAATATGTCTCAACATTGGGGCCTTCTGAAGGGACTTGATGGGAAGGTCATTCCTCATGTCTAGCCCCACCCCTTCTGGCCTTTAATGGGAAGGCATACCACCTCAGTGAGAGTGAGGGGCCCACGCTCTCCTGTGCTCTCTCTGGCCTGTGGAAAGCAGATTGGAATTTTTTCTGTGAACACCCATTTCATTTATTGTAGCCCTTCTTTCAGGGAGAAGGATACAGGTTTATATGGTGTCTTGTCTCAGTATTTGGAAGAGAGAAGTCTCCTGTGTTTATTAAGACTTATACTTAAGGGAAAATTATTTATCTTTTCTTCCCAATTTTTGTTCCTCTTTCAGATTGATTCATGGTGCAAAGATAATAGCTATGTGATTGCTGGTTATTATCAAGCTAATGAACGAGTAAAGGATGCCAGGTATGTTCATGCAAAAATTCTCTGTGGTCTGAAAGAATGATCATGTGACAAAGAAATCTCTGATGTGCTTTTTGATCTTCTTGTATAGGCTTGAGATGCGAAATCTGTGAAAACAAAGCCCCTCCTTGCCCTCTGTGCTTGTTTATAGTATTTGAGGGGAACTGTGGGGTGGATAATTCTAAACAACAGAAAGTCTAAACATTTATATTAACTTTGGGTTTCTGTTTTGTATCTTCTTTATTTTGCTTGAAGAAAATTCATGCAATGAAAGCAATGGTCATGGACCTCCAATTGCTGTCCCCACTCAGCTCTGCCTTGCTTCCCATTCCCAAACTAGGAGTGATGTGGGACAGAGCATTAGGAAAGAATACCACTCTCTTTTGGAATAAATAAAAAACTTTTTGATTTAGCACTCTAAGGGTCTGATACTATGATGAAAATATGGTGTGTGCTGCTTCCTTTGTATTGGCTCCTAGGAGCAAAACAGAGAACTCTGCTCTATTTTTGCCTCAGTATCAATCCCAACAGAGAAACAGATAACACATTAAAATTAGGATAATTTGAGGACTTAATAAGCAGATTATTTCCAAAGGTGTGGGAGGCATGTAAGAGACCTCACAAGAGAATAGTGTAGTAACCGAAAGCTGGTGACAAAAGCCAATACCATACCTGGGCCTGATAGGACAAGGAGGAAAGTTGAGTAAATGAGTCCATTTCGGGAAGGGATTAAGATGTACAAATTTCCAGTTATAAAAACAGTCACAGGGATATATAAAGTAAGCATAGGGAATGTAAGTCCACACTATTAGAATAAGTACTAGAGGCCCAGCACACAAATGGTACACAGGTGGGGTCCCTTGGCCTGCTGATCGGGGCCTACTGGGTGGGGGGGCTGGGAGGGAGGGGGAACCATGGGAGATTGGCCAGCTGCAGGAGCTTGGCTATGGAAACCCGCTGACCACCCGGGGGGGGGGGGGGCAGCTCCTGGGTTGAGCATCTGCCTCCTGGTGGTCAGTACGCCTCATAGGGACTGGTCGTTCGGTTGCTTAGGCTTTTAAATATATAGGTGTGTGATGTCAGCTGACTACTTGACTTATGGGTTGATCACTTCATAAGTTATATAAATGCCCAATCACAATATTGTAACCTGAATCTAATACAATATTATATGTCAACTAGAGGCCCAGTGCACAGATTTGGGTACCAGTGGGGTCCCTCGGCCTGGCCTGCTTCCTCTTACAATCTGGGACCCCTTAGGGGATCTCAGAGAGCCAGTTTTGGCCTGATCCCCACATGCCTGATCCAGACAGGAAGGGAGCCCGATCCCTACAGGCCCGATCCAGATAGGAAGGAACCTGATCCTGTGCCTTGAGTGTCTGTCCCCTGGTGGTCAATGCACATCATAGTGACCTGTCAATTGGTCATTCGGTTGTTTGGTCTCTTAGGCTTTTATATATAGAGATGGTAATACAAAAACAAAAAATTGAGAAAAAAGAAGTCTGCCCAGCCAGTATTTCCCAATGGTTAGAGCATCAGCCTGCACACCAAAAGGTCTTTGGTTCGTTCCCAATCAAGGTCATATACCTGGGTTGCAGGTTCCACCCCCAGCCCTGGTTGGGAGGCAAATCATGTGTCTCAATGTCTGTCTGTCTCTCTCTCTCTCTCTCTCTCTCTCTCTCTCTCTCTCTCTCTCTCTCCCTCTCTCCCCTTCCCTCTTCGCGCACCTCCCCTCCCCCCAATACACACACATTTTCTCGTTCCCTTCCACCGGTCTTCTAAAAATCCATGGGGAAAAAATATACATACTGAAGATTAACAAAACAACAAAGAGCCGGGACCGGTTTGGCTCAATGGATAGAGCGTCGGCTTGGGGACTGAAAGATCCCGGGTTCGATTTCGGTCAAGGGCATGTACCTTGGTTGCGGGCATATCCCCAGTAGGGGGTGTGCAAGAGGCAGCTGATCGATGACTCTCTCATCGATGTTTCTAACTATCTCTTTCCCTTCCTCTCTGTACAAAATCAATAATAAATAAATAAATAAATAAATAAATAAATAAATAAATATTAAGAAATTTAAAAAACCAACAAAGAGGTCACCAATTCAATTCCTAGTCTGGGCACATGCTTGATCCTCCACAGGGAGTTGCAGGAGGCAGCCAATCATTGTTTTCCTCCCACATCAATGTTTCTAATATATCCTTTTCCCTTCCACTTTCTCTAAAATTAATAAATCACATATTTAATTTTTTTTTTTTTTTTTTTTTTTTTTTAAAGAAGGAAGGAAGGTAAAAGAAGTCAAGAAGAACAATGCCCTTTGTTTGAAGGACATGGCCGGCAGCCGGCCTGAGGTGTCCTCACCAGAAGAATGAGTCATGCCCTAACACACACACACCACCCAGGAGACTGGCTACATGGGAAGCCAGGAGCACAGTATATAATGGGAGGCACTGACACACTGTCCTCACAGTGACTGACTCCAGTGTCCAGGCAGTTAGCAGATGCAGTGAAGACCTTAGACCTAAACTCCTGGAATTATGTCCACTTGACCAGGATAGGCGAGAGGTTGGACTCAATAGCATTTTTGGAAATAATATAACAAGCTGGTGACTAATATTGCTAACTCTGATGAGATACAAATGCACTTCAGAGACTTAAACCCTCTTATCCTTGGAGGACTGGGTCCAGTAGGGATTCTGAGAGAGTCAGAGTAACAAGGGAAACTCTAGGCTCAAAACAACTATTGAAGCCCCCCCCGGGGATGACAGCACTTAGGCACTCTCTGAGCCCAAGAGCACCACTCATTTCTCCTCAGTTGCATCTTTTACTAACTTCCCTCCTTCTAGAACTCTTCTTCATTTTATTCTATCCACCTTCCATGTATTAATGATTCAGTGCATTCCCATCTCTGATCTAAAGCCTATTCATTGGGCCCTGTCAAGCTTGGTCTTTGAGTTGGCATGGAGTGCCTGCCCTGAGCAGCCAAGCTCTGTGATGAGCAAAGCTAAAGACTCTGCCCTTGCCTGGCAGGTTGCTGGGTTGAATATGAAAGATATTGCCAACATAAGACTAACACAAAGCAATAGGCCAATTGCCATGAGGGTGATGCAGAAGGCTGTAATAGCCAGAGCAGGGAGAAACTGCATCTGTTGGTATGAGCAGAAAAGCCCTCAGGAAAGGGAGTCATTTGAACTGGGCATTCAAGAGTGGACAGCATCTTGTCAAGTAGGGACCATGAGGGGACAGCATTCCAAGAGGGGACAACATGATGAAGACATCAGCTGGGAAAGGGGGTAGGGACATGGGGTGCACACACGGAGGAAATGGTAGCAAGGGAGTCTGGAAAGGTAGATGAGGCCATACTCGGAACTTGAACTTTATTGTAATATAAGCAGTAGAGAGCTGTCCTTAAAAGGAGGGTTTTCCTGAACCAAGCATTTCTTTCCCAATAGCTATTCTAGAAATAGAATAGCTATTCTATTTCTCATATATAATATATTTTATTGATTTCAGAGAGGGAGGGAGAGAGAGAAACACCAATGATGAGAACCATTAATTGGCTATCTCCTGCACATCCCCCACTGGGGATTAAGCTCGCAGCCTGGACATGTGCCCTTGACTGGAATTGAACCTGGTACCCTTCAGTCCACAGGCAGGCATTCTACCACATAGCCAAACTGGCTAGGGCAACCCACAGCTATTCTTGAAGAAAGGAAAGGAAACTAGTCAAGAGATAAGGGCACTTGGCTTGTCAGGTGACTGTAGATGCCTTCCTATGCCTGCCCACAAATCCATACTTTATGTGATCATCCCTAGTGTGCCTGCAAAGGGTCTCTCATCCACATGCCTCCTTTGGCTCATGGCCTCTCCATCTTCTTGCCTCTATTCAGACCTTATTTTTTAGCCCAACCCAGTAATACCTTACTCAGGCACCATTTTCATGCTGTTTTGTACCTGGTTCCTTCACCTGCTCTGCTCAGGAGATTTTGCATTCCCCCACTGATGTTGATGTTTAAGTACCTACCAACCAGCCATTTCTCAGATGCATAGAGAAAAGTAAACATTAGCAAGGGGAGGGAGTGCAGAAGTGTGCCATAGCTCTTTAGTTCTTTCTGGTGAGTCTGCTCTGCCTCAGCATTTCATCCATCCCTCCCACAAGCTGGTATTGCCTTAGGAGTTAACCTGTAGTCCCTACTCTGTACCCAGCCGGGGGCTTTACTGGCATTGTCCTATGTACTCCTCACAAGGATACTCAGGTGAAGAAACTCCAGCCAGAGACTGTCTCTGCACAAAGGCCACATGCTTGGAAGCTTAGGAGCTGAGATATAGCAACTTCCTTCTTCAGCACTATTTGCATCTACCTGAAAATCTTTCCTTCTCTCTTCAGCCATACCTAGCTAAAAATGTGCTCTTCTTTTAGAAATCTCAGCTGATTAACTGTCTTTCAGAATAAGCCAGGGGACTTGGGTTCAAATTCTAAGTGACTTACTGATTCACCTCCTTGACCTTGGTGGTCCTATCTGTAAATGGAGCTAAAAGCTTGTACCTCAGTGAGTGCTTGCAAGGATAGTGAAGGAACAAGCAGCATTTTAGTTCTTGGTTCAAAATTGGAACTGGCTCTATTATTAGCCCTATGATTACTTTTATCAAAAAAGAATCAATGTTTCATTATTTTAAAAAGGAAATGTAAGTTGTTTGTAACTGTTTAGACATTTCCTAAACTTGAGGTTTTTTCATTGTCTCATTATATCATGTCACTAGAGGCCCGGTGCACAAAATTCATGCACGGTAGGGCTGGCAATCAGGGTTGATCTGCGGGGCAATTTGCAAGATGATTGGGGAGGGGAAGGGGAGCACCACAGGCACACTGGCACTCACCTTGGCTGGCCTGGGCCTACAGGCTGAGGGCAGCTCCTGCATTGAGCATCTGCGCACCCCCACCCCCACCTCACACACACACACACACACACACACACACACACACACACACCCCGTAGTCAGTGCATGTCATAGTACCAATCGTTCTGCTGTTTAGTCAATTTGCATATTAGGCTTTTATTATATAGGATAATTACTGGTGTTTTGTTTCAGAATCAGCATTTCATGTGTAAATTTCAGTACCGGGCACTGTGCCCTGTATCCTAGGTCAGTGGTTGGCAAACCGCGGCTTGAGTGTGGCTCTTCCACAAAATACCACATGTGGGCGCACACGTACAGTGCGATTGAAACTTCGTGGCCCATGCGCAGAAGTCAGTTTTCGGCCTGGGCGAATCTATTTTGAAGAACTGGTTCTAACATTGAGCCACACTCAAGGGGTCAAAGAGCCTCATGTGGCTCATGAGCTGCGGTTTGCTGACCACTGTCATAAGTAGGTCAATGTTCAACCACTGAGTCTCGGGCACTCGCCACCATGTTTCTCATTCACTCTCTAAAAATCAATGGGGAAAAAATATCCTCTGGTGAGAATTAACAGAAAATTTTAAAAATAGAAATGTGGTCGAAAGGGAGGAGAGAGTTTAGACAGTAGCTAGAGGGAACCAGTTAAATGTTTTTTTATCCCAAATAGGAAAAGACTTATTCAGATTTGACAGCAAAGCTGTCACAGTTAACAGAGAGAACATATATGTAAATTTTTTTAATTAGTTTTTATTGATTTTAGAGAGAAGGGTAGGGAGAGGGATTTTAGAAATTTTAGGGATTTTAACTCTAACTGATGGTGTCCACAACAGACCGGGAATTGAACCGGTGACCTTTTGGCTTATGGGTTGATGTTCAACCACTGAGCCACCCTGGCTGGGCAACAGAATATAAATAAGGCCTGGAGGAGGAGGTCAGAATGGATAGACCCATGGGTGGAAGAGGCCTCTTCCTAAAATGGGATAGAAAAAAACTGTGTATGGGGTAACCAGGGATGTTACCTTGGCAGCTCTCCACTGGGTTCCAGGGAGCCTTTCTGTTTAGAAGATGCCTTCTCAGGATCCCCTTCACAAGGGCTTCCTGGTGGGATAGGACAGAGCCTGCTTTGCTCTGGCTCCCATTGCCCTTACAGCATTCCCTGTGCTTGGCACAAGTCGTTGCAGCTGGACCGCTGGTCTTTTGTCATTGCTTGTTAACTATGCTGTAGGTAGACAGTGTTGAGTGGCATTAACCAGAATGTGGTAAACTCACTGATTCTTCTTTTGCAGTCCAAACCAGGTTGCGGAGAAAGTGGCCTCCAGAATTGCCGAGGGCTTCAGCGATACAGCTCTCATCATGGTAAGTCACTTCATTGCCTGTTGTGTTTTCTTTTTTCTTTTTTTTTTTTTCTTTTTTTAATATATTTTTATTGATTTTGTACAGAGAGGAAGGGAGAGAGATAGAGAGTTAGAAACATCGATGAGAGAGAGTCATCGATCAGCTGCCTCTTGCACACCCCCTACTGGGGATATGCCCGCAACCAAGGTACATGCCCTTGACCGGAATCGAACCCGGGACCCTTCAGTCCCCAAGCCGACGCTCTATCCATTGAGCCAAACCGGTCTCGGCACCTGTTGTGTTTTCTATTTGTAGGATGGCTACTGAGCATTTCCTTGCTAACCTAGAGCTTTGTTGGATAAGCAGTCTTTCTTTCTGCAGATACTTCAGACCGTTGCCACCTTTTTTGTAGTCGCAAAAACAAGTCTCCTGAAGAGGGGACTTGTTTCTCAAAGTGGGCCCGTAGTATCAGCACCAGCTGGGAACTTGTTAGAAATGCAGATTTTTGGGGCCCAGCAGTCTGTGTTTTAATATGCTTCCAGTTGATTCTGATGCACCCTCAAGTGTGAGAACCATTCCATTAGAATAGCCAGCATAGCCTATAGGGAAAGAAGGGAGGAAGGAGTCAGATCGATAGGTAGCTAACAGAGCCTTTTTAAATAATCTCAATTTAGATAATTCTAACAGGGAGGGAAGAATAAATGTTTAAAAGCTCTACTTTTGTGAGAAAACAATGAAATGGTTTGTTTCCTGAAGAGCACACAGTTTACCTTAGGCCACACTGTGGTACGATTCTACACATCACATTTGCAGGATTTGCACACTGTAAGGCAGGGTTTCTGCTTGTGGGCCTCCAGGAGGGCTAAGGACTTCCAGAAAAGTGCTGGCCCTTGACTTTTTGTTAACTCTGTTCACAACTGTCCTTTGTCTTGTGTGCAGGTAGACAACACTAAGTTTACGATGGACTGCGTGGTACCTACGATCCATGTGTACGAACACCATGAAAACAAATGGCGGTGCAGAGACCCACACTAGTGAGTGCTGTGTCCTCAGGATGAGCTATGTGCAGGGTATGCTAGAGTATGCTGCGCCTGTTCCAGCTACCCAGATCCATCAAAAAGCGGGTCCCAACCTCCTGTATTTTTTCATTTAGCTTATTCTCCAGAGGAGCGCCCAGTCCTCATACAGAAATCGTGTGTGTTCCTCGGCTCCTGGGGGACTATGGCCAATAGAGCTTCAGAACAGTAGAGAGAATCTGATTGTTACTCAAGGTCTTCCCACCCCAAACCTCAGGGCACCTCTCCATAAACTCTTTCCGGGGTCTGGTTTGATTTACTGGTAATCACTCAGAAAGCATGAGTCATCCACCATCAGCTTTGTCAGCATATCTTTTGGAGGGTGTCTCATTTTAACCACGTTTTATATTGTTGATATGTACAGTTACATGTTTTCTAGTACTCATCATTGTCTTCTTTATACCACTCTGTGTATGGCTAGTTTTTTGTTTACTCTCTTGAAAAGCCAGATTTTTTTTTCTTCTCATTAAGATATTGATTTCTCCTGTTTCACCTCTTAGTGATTACTGTGAAGACTGGCCAGAGGCCCAGAGGATCTCAGCGTCACTCCTGGATAGCCGGTCCTATGAAACGCTCGTTGATTTTGACAACCACCTCGACGACATTCGGAATGACTGGACAAATCCAGAGATCAATAAAGCTGTTCTACACCTGTGTTAGGGAGGGATTTTATTGACTAGTCTCTAGGCATTTCCACTAGGCTGAAGAAAAAAAAGCTATTTTTAAATGTAAATTAAAAATCTCATTGCCTGTGTGGAAAGCTGACAGTTTTCAGAAGTGGCGTGTGCCTTGAAAGAGGGCAGAATGTCTCATCAGTCGTCTTTTTAATGTAGAATCTCTAGAAGAGGTACGGACTGTCCAATCTGACCATCCCTGTGGAGTTCTTCCCAGTTGTATGTTGCCATAATCCTCCCAATCAAAGCTGTTTCTGCTTGTCCAAGATTGTTCCTATTAAACAATTTTAACTAACCTTTTTTAATCTGGAGAGGATATTTTTTAAGACTTATGGACTATCTTTAAAAAAAAAAAAAAACACATATCTTATACCTGTATGGGAGTGTTTGTGAATTTTAGTCCAGTCTGAGTCAATGTCATCCAGTCCTGGGACTGGGCAGGTGCCCAGCGGTGCCTGAGAACCTGTGTGTTGGTGATCCGTGTCGGGAGGACAGCACTGCCCCACATGATGTGGAGCTAATGTAGCTGCAATTCTACACAGTGTGAATAAAGCCACTGTTGCTGAGAAACCTTCATCACTAATGGTGAAAACAAACATGCTGGTAATGGGAGCGCAGTGTAATGCTTCTCAGTCAACCAGAAAGCTTGTAACCTGCAGAATCAAAAAAGGGAAATGGAACAATGCTAAGATTATTTTTAAAAGACAAGAACCAGTCCTAACTCTAACTTGCATGATTTTCTAAATGATTCTAATTTATGTCTTAAAAATAATTATTTCTTTTGTATTCAAACAGGAGCAAAACAAAACTTAGACTCCCCAGGTTTTATAGAGCCTGTCTATAATGTATATACATAGAAGTTATTATGGTTAAAACTTCCAATCATAGGAAGCTAATGAGGAAATTTGACAATACTGTTGCATTTTTTTTATATGAACTGCTAGAGGCCCAGAGCACAGATTTGTACACCAGAGGGGTCCCTCAGCCTGGCCTGTACCCTCTCGCTATCTGAGACCCCTCAGGGGATGTCATAGGATGCAAAGCAGCAGGCGGCCTGAAGGACCCTAAGCCTGGGCCAAGCACCCTGCTACTCCCACTGTGCCTGTTGTCGCCACTGCCCCCCATTGGTCAGCTGAGTGGCGCTCCCACTGTGGGAGTGCACTGACCACCAGATCCTCCATTGAGCATCTGCCTCCTAGTGGTCAGTGCTTGTCATAGCTACCAGTCATAAGGTCGCTTAGGCTTCTATATATATAGATTGTGCAGAGTGCAGAGAATCCTATCTTTCCTACTGTCTTTTTCTTTGACTTGTAACAATTGGCATGATCTATTGAAGGGGTTTGGGACACAGCATTATTTCCTTTAACAAACAGGAAAATTTTTTTCAGACATTGCTTATAGCAGATGTGCTTTGATCCACCAAATTCCCTCTTTCCCTTCCTTCAAACACCTCTTACCTTTAACTTTTGAAGCTGACATTTATTTTGTGTGGGGAACATAAATGAAAGGGTGGCCGAAACCGGTTTGGCTCAGTGGATAGAGCATCAGCCTGCTGACTGAAAGGTCCCAGGGTCGATTCCAGTCAAGGGCATGTACCTTGGTTGCAGGCATATCCCCAGTAGGGGGTGTGCAAGAGGCAGCTGATTGATATTTCTCTCTCATCGATGTTTCTAACTCTATCCTTCTCCCTCCGTCTCTGTGAAAAATCAATAAAATATATTTTTTAAAAATAAAAATAAAATAAATGAAAGGGTGATGGGTCAGTGCACTTTATCTTTCTCACTGTCCTCACCTGAGAGCCCAGCACCATGGGCAGTCTTGTTCCAAATAGGTTTGTATTTTTTTTTCAAAAAGGGAGAAGAGTCACCTCCAGTATTTACCACAGAAAAGCCTGTCTTTTCCTGGGATTCAAATATGTGTGCTATCTGCAATTCAAGGTCAGAGCTACTTGGAATCAAAGTGTGACTAAGACTAGTTTGGGAGGCATTTTAAAGATAGTCTTAAACCATGGTGGTTTTACCTCTATGTAGAATTCTTGCACTTGAGTCTCCCACCAGCTTCCCAGGAAGCATGTGTCATATGTCATCCTCTAGTTTGCATTTTAACCTGGAACTAGGTCCTTTCTATGGATGAGTCAGATGTAGATTTTCAGAAGAAAGCATATAAGTATTCGGAAGGAAAGAACTTATTTGTGAAAAAGCAAAAACGTTTCCAAGATACAATACCTATTTCTAAATCTGAGTATGACATGTATTCACACTGTGCCTTTATATAGAAAAGATTTAAAGGAGCAACATAAAGTATATTTGTTCATTAAAGACATCTTTGTCCATCAAAATGTTCTTAAATAATTCTTAAATCTGTAGGGCTTAGAGAGGAGAGAGGGTATGTGTGTGGAGATAGCCCTTACAGGCATCTATATGTTTATCATTCTGGTGAAAAATTGTATCTCTTGTATAACATCCATTCATTAAAAGGTGAGTAGGACAAATTAATTATTAATTTACATAAAATTATAATTTTCCATTTTTAATCATGGTTACATTTAAGAACAGGATACTACTAAACATGGAAAAGTAAGCAGTAACTTCATAAATAACAAAAAGAAACGTGCTTGCTAAGGAAGAATTGGTTTTGCTAGTTCTAATGAAATTAGGTTACTTAGAAATCTTGAGTAATTTGAATTATCAGGTTAATTTCCCTGGGATCTGGTATTTTTAAGTCTCATCAGTATAAAAAGTTCTGTATAATTAGGTTTGATTTAATAGCTTATTTTTCTGATTGATGTCCTTGGGAAATCTATTGTTCCTATATATAGTAATTCTCATCTTTCCTCGCCTACCTTTTTTGTCTTGCCTTCAAAAGAAAAATATTTGCTTCTAAAACTGCCCTTTTTTAGTAGTATATCTGTCTTAACACAGTAGCTACTTTGACATCATGGTAAGTGGAAAATAGCCATGGGCATTAATCTCCATGCCCTGTGGACATTTTTAGCAATTTTACTGAAGAGAGCTGAATTTAAAAATAGACTTCCGCTCACTAATTGACATTTGTTAAAGCTTTCCATCAAATCACTGTCTCTTAAGCCCTGGATTTTTTTTTTTTTTTTTCAGTTCAATAGAAAGCCTGGCACAAACATTAGTTTATGTTCCCCCTTCCATCTCTCAGGTAAGTGATATGTTACTTTAACTTCATTTCCATACACCTCAAAATCCAAAGGATAAATAAATATGTTTGTTCTCATAATGTTGACTGTCGCCCCTTAAAATACTTAGGATATTCTCTTTTTTTTTAATATATTTTATTGATTTTTCACAGAGAGGAAGGGAGAGAGAGAGAGAACTAGAAACGTCGATGAGAGAGAAATATCGACCAGCTGCCTCCTGCACACCCCCCCACTGGGGATGTGCCCGCAACCCTGGTACATGCCCTTGACCGGAATCGAACCTGGGACCTTTCAGTCCGCAGACCGATGCTCTACCACTGAGCCAAACCGGTTTCGGCAATACTTAGGATATTCTTGAATGGGATGCAAAACCTGATCAAATTTAGTATTTCTGTAGAAATAAATGGTCATTCTAAGGAGCCTTGTCTTCCATCAGGGTTAATTCTTGAGGTGGACATTTCCTTACAGTGATCTGGAGATTTTTCTTTAGAATGTGAGACTTAGTCCAGAACTGCAAGAATTGTGTTCTCTAGTCTTTGCTTTTAGAGTATCGCAAGTGCCAGCCAAACATCCACTGGAATTTGACTGGAGGAAACCTTTGGCTTGAACTTATGTCGTCTTGTAAAACAGAATAGCATCTTATATTTTGTGTTGTCTGAAACATTCCAGATATCCTCAGTAAATCTATAAATGATTGAATTTCAGAATATTGTCAAAGTTCTATGGGCAAGGCTTCATGGGGGTCTGCCCAAGGTAGGAGACTTGCTGAGTTTGCCAAGGGCCTTTGATACTTCCTAAGCACTGAAGATTAAGTGAAAACCTAAGATGGGCCGGATTTAGTGTCCTCCAGGTCCCCTACTTAAATTACTAAAGAAGAGTCAATAATTTCTCAGGATTGGTTGTTCTCAAAAAAGAATCTTCCTGGCCAAAACCGGTATGGCTCAATGGATAGAGGGTCGGCCTTCGGACTGAAAGGTTCGATTCTGGTCAAGGGCATCTACCTTAGTTGCGAGCACATCCCCAGTAGGGGGTGTGCAAGAGGCAGCTGATCAATGATTCTCTCTCATCGATATTTCTCTCGATCCCTCTCTCTTCCTCTCTGTAAAAAATAAATACATTATTTAAAAAAAAAAAAAAAAAAGACTTCCTGTTGCCCCTTGCAGTGCTTCATTTTTTGCTTGATAAGTCCAGATGCTGCAGTGGCATCTAGTAATGACTAATAGGTAGTGATTAGTCGGAGTGCCAGTGAAGTCCAGCTTTGCCATATTCTAATTTTGCGGTTGTGGGAATTACCTCCCATGTCTTGTCTGAAAAATGAGAGTGGTAACACCTACATGCAGTGATGTCATAAAAGGCCACTGGGTCTTCACTTAATAGAATATATTGGGCCTGCACTGACAAAAGTTCATAACTGCTGATGTTTTTGTTTTTTGTTTTTTTGTGTTTTTTTTAAATATATTTTTATTGATTTTGTACAGAGAGGAAGGGAGAGAGAGAGAGAGTTAGAAACATCGATGAGAGAGAATCATCAATCAGCTGCCTCCTGCACACCACCCACTGGGGATAAGCCCGCAACAAAGGTACATGCCCTTGACCAGAATCGAACCCGGGACCTTTCAGTCCCCAAGCCGACGCTCTATCCATTGAGCCAAGCCAGTTTGGTATAACTGCTGATGTTTTAACAATTCTAGAACATCCTACTGGCCAGACTGACAAGTTCTAGTAAACATTCATTGAACATCTATTGAGTGAATAAGTGAGTAAATGAAAACAGCAGGTTACATTTCTTGCTTTTGTTTGTATTGCCTTCCCAACCTGTG